AGATGGGAGCTAAAGGCGCAATCCAGAGCGTTGCTGGGCCTGCGTCGCCCCTCCGGGAGCCCAGCGGTGCTCCCCGTTTCGCGCTCTGCCCCCGGGAACTGCCCCAAAGCTTGAAGGGAGCCGGGGGGCGCGACCTCCTGCCCGTAACTCCTCACCCTCTCCTGGCCTCCTCCTCCTCGGGACCGTGGCCCCAAGGCAGGGCTTGCTCGGAGCGGGGAGCTGGTGGTGCTGGGGCAGCGAGAGAGAGGAGCCCTGGGGCCTCTCTGGCTCCCTGGATAATCCCGGTCTCCTGCTGTCTCAGCCGCAGCTTCCCACCACTGCTTGAACCTTCGGGGCTTCCTAAAGCTCCTCCTTTCGAGGCAGCCAGCGAGGCTGATTTAATGGTGGTGAGTCCACCACATCCTTAGGACAGTGATTCCAAGAGCTGCTAGGAAAAAAAATGTGTTATTTCATGTGAGAGTCGCTCTCGTTTTAGCTCCTCATCGCTGGAGCTTTTCCCCCTTTCCTGGTAGGTCAGAGGCATCTGCTCTCGGAGCCCTCTGCCCATGCGGGGACTCACGGTTGGTGGTGGTCACTCCAAAAACGGCCATGATGAGGGTCCCGTAACCTCCAACAGCGGGTAACGGCCGAGGCCCAGCAAGGGCAGATACACAGCGGCACATCTCCAGCCTCCAGCAAGCTTCAGGGCAAGGGCTTCTCAGGGCAGCAGTGGTGGCTTTGTCTTTCATGGTCTGTGGTGGCCTTTTTCTCCACAAACCTGTGTGATGGCTCTTGGGACAAAGCTCCCCCCGCTTCCCACGGCAGTGAGCACCGGAGCATGACCACACACTGTCTGACGCGTGTCGCCTTCTGCTCACGTTGGTCCTGCCATGCAAATATGTCACTTGACGCAGGTCCTGGGGGAAATCTCCCATCGTTGAGTAAACCCGCCTCTTACTCCTGTCCTTCATCTCGTGTCTGTCCCCAGTTATTTGTCTCCTCGAGGACCTCACCCCATGGCAGCTTAGGTTTTAAAGAGCTCTTAGCGAGGGACCACCCTAAGTCAGCGGCTCCGAGCCACCATGAACAGCTCGGCGATTTCATCCCTGAGCGGAGCCAGGACCTTACTAGGCCTGGCGATTTCCTGCAGTTCTCCGTGTCCGTCTGCTCTGCAACGATCTCCTCCACGGGTGCTTCCACTTCAGACAGATCTGCCGCTGCATCCTCCGTGAAGAGCCGTCCTGAGAGCCTGAGGGGAACGCGTCCAGGAAAATCCACATAGCTTTTTTCTGCTATGCTCTTATTTTCTGTGAGCACCCATCTTCTCTGAGCAACCCTTTTACTCCAGATCGCCTTTGGTCCCATGTCCAAGTAGCCTTTTTTTAAAGATGAACTTTTTATTGCCAGTTCTTGTTTTTGCAAGGTGTTCTGCAAAGTCCTTTTTTTTGGTCCTACTTTATTGATTTCACGTTCCCGTCGGTTTTCTTTACGAGGACACGACCTCCGCGGTCTCAAAAGCGTGGTGTAACATCTACGGGGCCTCCCTTCTCCCGCTGTTTAATCACGCTGGATTTGGGCAGCTGGTTTCTTTTCCTCTCGTCAGCAGAGCTGACAGCCGGCAGCGTCCCCGGCCGCCCTGTTTGCACAGCGGGTGAGGTTTTCTGAAGAGGGAAGAAACGGTGGAAAAGGCAGGAAACCAGTCACACACAAGTCATGAGACCGGGCGAGACATGGGACATTTGTGGTCTTGGCTCTGTGCTTTTCTTAAGCGGTAAAAACTGGCTCCTTCTGCCGTTGCTTGCCCAGGTAGACACCTTCGGCGCCCAGCGGGCCCCCGGGCCGCCTGGCAGAGACCCGACAGGGCAAAGAAATCCCACCCTGATGCGCTGTGTACTGTGGTTTTTCCCAATCTCTGCTCTTCAAGCTGCTCCAGGCTGGCAGCGGAGTTTGAGGCTGGTTTAAGGGGCATCTGCAATTCTCCGTCCTCCGGCACTGCTGGGAGCTGGGGATTTCGGGAACCGTGAGCGAGCGCTGCAACGACCCGACCCCGCGCGAGCTGCCAG